CAAATTTCAAATGTTGCTTAAATCATGTATTCAGGGGTAATTCATTTAACATTTCAGCATGAACTCTAATTTGGGCAACCAAACGACAATTAAAATGGACTTCAATGAGTATAAAGTATTTATACAACTTAGGGTAGTACATGTACATGTGTGTATGAGATTTCAATTTAGGTCATTGTAGTATCTGTTTCTGGAGATTATAAACCTTCACTCACAGATCAATTTAGTAGATGGAAATAACTTAATAAATCTATATAATTACACAATATCATCATTTTTAGAAAACGGAGGAAATTTGGATTAAAAGTTGGCGATGTTTTTTCAGTGTTTTTAAACATGTGTTATGACTATAGCTTTGCTAAATGAGTTAAATAGATGAAAAATACAGACAATCTTACAATTTTACTTTTTTCCAAAGATAATTAAAAATAAAAGCATTGTTCACCAATTGGGAAAAAATACTGCCAAATTGGCAAAAACTGAACTCATTTTCAATTTGGAATGATGCCGAATTTCGGCCCATGAGAAGGCACTGATAAATCCCTGTTATCTATAGGTGTATGCTAGGTCGATCAGGGTTGGTCATACACTCCCCAATATTATGGGATGAATTAAACCAATTGAGACATCGCTATTAGAGAAAGGGATCATGCATCCATGATTTTATTTACTTTTCCATGCAGAAAAAGTTCTTTAAGTGTGTGTCATTCCTTTCAGTGAGGAATTACCTTGTTACATGACAGAACCGCCATTTTTGGTTTGCACATGTGTTTATTTACGGTCACCTAAATGTTTGTAAAGGTCTCATATATATATATATATATATATATATATATATATATATATATATATATATATATATATATATATATATATATATATATATATATATCTATATCTATATCTATATATATATATATATATATATATATATATATATATATATATATATAAGCGCTTATTTGACTAAGATGCATTCTAAAATTTAAAACCCACCAGTTCAGCTGAGAAAAATCCGGAAAAATTTGTCGGAAAAAGACATTATTTTTATTTTCATGATTGGTGAAAATTAGGGTCGGCGGAATCGTAAACCAAAAGAAAAAAAAAACTTTGGCCTCATCAATATCACAGATATAAACTGATCTCTGAACCAGATCTTATCACATGTAATACAAATTAACATATTTTAAATCAATCTATGCCTAGGATAATCCATTTAAGCAATATATAAACTTGCTTATTTCTAATTGGGTCCTAAGATGTTACAAGTTGATTATATTATATATAAATACTCTCTTCCCTCCTTCGAGCCTCCTGTGTAAGATGCAACTTGACAGCAGATTTAAAACTATCATTTAAAACTTACAAGGTCATTTTAACGACCATTAATTTTACGAAATGCTAAATTTAAACGAGGTTGTCGAAATTCCTGTAACACCTACTATAAAGAAGCCTACATGTACTTCGGTTTAAAAATTGATCATATTTCGTATTCAAAGCATGCTCTTGAGTATCGGATAAGCTGGGGAATTTAAACACCATATGCAGCTGATAGTGGAATATTACTATATAAATAAAGAAACCTGACGATGGAAAAGCTGGTCATCTCGTTTGTAAAACAATTTAGTTGGTAGTTACATGTAGCGCCACGAGAATGCCATCGGCATCGAAAGCAAGTTTATTGACATGCCTACATGGCCGAGAAGTCTAGCGCTCTCTGTACTGCTGTGAATTTCTGTGTGTGCTTTTATAAAGATATATATGTTCGTATAAATAAAATTACATTCCCCTCAATCCTTCATTTTTACTTTAAGATTTTAATGATTATATTCTTTCCTTTTCAGTTTCAGAAAAAGAAGACGTTTCTTTGTTTGAAAATACTACAATTCAAAACTCAAAAATCTAAAAATAATAACAATAGTAAACTTTTGAAAAACTTTGTTCACATAACGCATATGTAAATCTCATGTTTACATTCATCAATAAGGTACTCATCAAAAATGTCATATCTGATTATCATGATTTTCCATTATACAACTCGTCAACGGAAATTTATTAGTTCTCAAATTCCTACATTTTGAAATCTTTTAAAGCAATGAAGGTTGGCTTAAAAAATCATCTTTCAATAACTTTACTCACCTTACTTTCGACTGTACATGTATAGTGGACTGTTACAACGCGAAATGTAAAAACAATTAAAAATGTAATAAATCGGGATTGTTGCATTTTGCGTTATTACATTTTACGTCGATATCAACGCAAAATGTAATAACACAAAATGTAAAAACATACTTTTAGGGATTATTACATTTTGCGTCGAGATAAATGCAAAATATAATAACACAAAATGTAATAACACGATTTTTGGATTATTATATTTTGCGTTTTTACATTTTGCGTCGAGATTAAGCAAAATGCAACAACTCAAAATGTATTAACACACTTTTGGTCAGTCAGGTTGAAAATATTTTTCAATCGCGTAGTGGATAACGAAAATAAACGGAAAGAAAGAAAAAAGTAATAATAAACATATGCTAATTCTTACATTAGATCTGATTTCATCATATTAATTTTCAGTAGCTATTTAAAATCAGTTGATATTCAAATCACAGGTGTTGCATATTAGAAACGTGCGTGTGTGTGTGTGTGTGTGTGTGTGTGTGAGGGTGTGTATGTTAGTATTTGCGTGTGTGTTTTATTTCGTTGATAAGTGTATCAGTTTGCTTTTTGATAGGCACAGGCATGAAATTTAGAAAAGAAATCTATTTTTACTGGCAGGTGTAAATATAGCGGGGAGGGGTTTCTTGACAATTAAGATTTCATACTGTTTTACAAATTATGTGCATTGCAGACCACCAAAAATAAAATTCTCTCTCTCTTCAATAATAAAAATAGTTTCTGCATGCGCATAAAATATATGGCGCAGTGGTTAGAGCGTCTGCTCTAGATTCGCGGAGGAAGAAGTTGATCCTTACGTCGCGGGTTCGAATCCCACTGCGGGACGTAGAGACTGGTCCTTCGGATGTGACCGTAAAAACCGAGGTCCCGTGCCGCAGTAGGTGCTGGCAAGAAAAAGATCCCTCACTTCTCAATGGCCCTGAGTGTCGAGTATAGGTCAAAATTTGTAGCCCTCCACCGGCAAGTGGTGGTGTCTCCATATGAGTGAAGGGCAACAAAAAATAAGTAACGCAAAACGCAACAATTAAAAAGTGCATTATTTCATTTTGCGTTCATACCAACGCAAAATGTAATAACGGAAAATGTAATTATCCAAAAATTGTGTTTTGCGTTATTACATTCTTTGTTGATCTCGACGCAAAATAAAATAACTCAATATGTAATAAATTAATCTCAGTTTATTACATTTTGCGTTGCTATTATATTTCGCGTTGTAACAGAGACATTTGAAATCACAATAGACTCATTCATTAATTAATAACTTTTATTCATATTTACAAATTATCTCATCTTATACAAAAGTCACATCCATATTTTACAAAATGCTAAATAAATGAAAACACATGACATTATGATATGTTTTAATAAATAAATGAAAAAGGAATTCTTGAGATATGGCTTAGGTTCCAATAATTTTCTACACTCCGCAAAATGTCCATATCATACGCTCTCTGAGCCTTTGACATTTAGTTTTTATTGCTTTTGTCTACAAATAAAAATGACTTCCTCCATTTACATACTTGCAGATTTTCTTATTTTCACTTCCCTTAAGTAAAATAAATCTAAACTTAGGAGTATATTTTGACATAGCAAAGATTTAGCTCCTTTAATCTCATTTTATCACCCTTTTAGAGACTAAATAAAATACACAAATTTCAAGACAAATTCTAATAAAGTCGGAATTCATGTAAGGACGTAATTATATTATTGATATACATTGGTTGTTATTTTTCTTATTGGTCAATTTGAATTTGGTTGTGATTTCATTGTATTTTTTGTGTGTTGTTGTTATTGGGGTGTTCAAAGTCTTCAAAGTGTTTTTAACGTTGGTACAAAATTGTACATCTGCTGGATAGATCCCTCCTTTCTCCTACATGTAGATCCAAGCCTTTTAAAATAATAATAAAATTTAGTGAAACACGATGTCAATATCTGTACCAGATACTTCTCAAGAATTTGTAAATGTATAGGTGTGTTTACTGAGAAAGTTGAACACACAATTATAAAACAACATGGTGTAAAAAATAAAACCAAAAAATAAGTTGTACTTGTGTGTAGTTTCATTGATATACTGTACCTTATTAATATCAAAGTAGTAACCAACATTTGACGAATATTTGAATTTTTTAAAATATTTTCGTGGACTGTTTAATTCTAACCTATTAAAGGCAAGGGTCAATGAAATAAAAAAAAAAACATTTTATTTGAAAATTAAAATTTACAATATACTTTCTTTTTTCAGTAAAAGGCGCAAAATTTGAGTTTCAGAAGTTTCATGACTTTCCACATGGAGTAAAAAATAAAGTAAGAAAGTTTCACCTCTGAAATATTTCTTTCCTTCAATTTTAATTTCATTGTCATAATCATCTTTTCTTTAATGTTTTAATCATACGGGATGGAATAGTTGCAACGTTGTCTATAAAAAGGTACATTGATCGAGTTAGCAGGTCAAATTTTTCATGAGCCGAAAAGAAACAATTATTTAGTGGATGTGAATAATGAATAATACGAAACAACACAAATTTTTGAGGGTGGGGTGGGGGGTTCTCTCTCCATGTTCATGTTGAAAAATAAAACCCCGATAATTTAAAAGGAATTGCGATTCGGGTGCACTAAGATGAATTATTAGCTTCTCTTTATGCCTATACAATTTAATTGCCCTGCATCTTTTTGTATGTGAATTTGCATCTAATTAATTAATAGCACTATTCTGTAAGAAAGTCATGCGTCTGAATGTAGATGCATTTGTAAATTAGTCTTATTAACTAAATACAATGAACCGTCAGATAGGTCAGAATCTGTATGTAAGTTCATTATCTATTTTACCAAATACAAATACCTGCCAAGAGGTCCTGCCTGTTTATATATCTGTATACAAGCAATTTACTGTTTTTCCATGAACTGTCGTTGTATGATCCAACCCAAAGAAGGTGAGATTTGTAATCGTAACACAGGGCCCGGGGTTTATATATCCCTTGTTGTTCCGTCAGTATCAGTGAAAGGAAGTGACCATCCTTGTCAATCATTTGTACTGTGTTGCTTTTTATATCACACACCAGGATGTGTGATAACGCATCTGAACAGATTCCACATGGATATAGTGGAGAACCTGAAAGAGGTCCTGTGTATGTGAAGCGATGTTTTCCTCTTTCATCTGTCACCACTACACCATAGTACCAATCAGACACAATAATATCTCCATTGCGGTTCTCTGTGATGTAAAGAGGTTTACTGTATAGTTCCTGGCCTGTAGTGCTGTACGCTATTGTCTGTTTGTGTTGGCCAGTGCTACTGAAACGATTTAATTCGTATGTATTTGAATCAATTTTATACATTCCGACTAATAGATCGCCACTGGAGGGGGAGCAGTAGACACACTCTGGTCTCCGTGGTCCCATTATGTTTATCACTGTAGACGTTGTATTGTTTTCCGTAGATAGTTTGGTAATGTTATGATTCTTGTCTATAAAGACAAGTTCACCTGTACCGTTCACAGTGTGTTGACCAAATCTTTCTATATAACTTGATATTTCTCTTCGATGAAGATCTTCACCTTCTGTGTTTGTCATGATGAGAGTGTGATTATCACTGATCCATATCCGGTCTGACGTCACATAGGAAATGTGATATACATGTCTTCGACATTTCATTGTGACAGATTTGTGTAACACAGGTGTAGACATCATTTTCAGTACACATTCTTTTGTAATCTGCCTTTTTCCAATCTCTGTAATTTGGATTTTTCCTTGTCTAATCACGTCCTCCATTTTGATTTCGTCAGGCAGGGAGAGCAGGGCGTGTTGTGTAACCTTTGGAGTGCCCATTATTTTGGAAACACTGTTGTTCTCTAGAAATAAAAGGAATTTTACTGGTCTATTTGCCAATTGCTCATATTGCTGCTCATAGTCCTTCATTCTAGCAAGATGTCTGTTCATTTTGTCTTTCTGTTGTTGTAATCTATTTATCATAAAACATCGGATTTTAAAATCACTCATCATAGTATCGACGAGGTCTTTTAATGCCTGGGCTTTTTCTAACATTTCTGATTGACGGTTGGATATTTCTGTTCGCCAATTCTTTATATCAGCTTTGATTTCTGCCGCATATAAAAAGACGCTATAAAGAATTTCACTTCTGATGTTGTGCAAGATTTCTTTGCGCTGACGACGATTTATTTTATAAGCTGTTTCAATGTCCAGTATATTGTGTATTCTGTGTTCTGTACATTGAAAACAGACAGGACGTTTACATGATAGACAGAACATTTCATAGATTCTGCCTGGATGTCTCATACAGTTTTCTTGTTTCGAGATACATTCATATTTCTCACGGTAAATTACAACATCATGATATATTGTATTTATATCAATAACATGTCTCTCTTTACAATGTAGGCAAAGGTCATGTTTACACGTGTTACAGTAGAATTCTGCGTTCCCTTGACATTGAGAACACTGTAGTACTTTAAACGGGATGTTTAATCCAGATCCCATGATGAGGAAATAGGTCTCTAAGAACACATTCTCCTGAAATAAAATAGATATACACATATTGAAATAGAAAAAAATATATCATGATCAAAGCACTGAACAACATGGGAAGCGCTAAGCAAAAGATAAAAATAAAAGAAAATTAATGTAATGAGATTTTAAAATTTATAACTAATTAGAATATGAAAACCTTAGATTTAATTTTCTTGTTGTATTTAAAACGTATTTAAAATATTTTCCCATTAAATGTATATTTTTAAAATATATTCTCTATTCTAATTCAACCTTAACCCCATTTTTCATGATTTGAACAACTTCAATCAAAACAACATTGGACGTTTGCAATACATGTAACTGTGCCGAAGTTTTAATAAATATTATTCTCCACTATCTGCGAATGCTTGCTTCACATTTTTAAAAAATTCAATATGGTGTTCTTGGTTGCATTTGTACAAAGAAATTTTCTATGCATTTTCATCTGGTTCTTTAAATAATTTTAACAATGATTAAACCCTATATTTATACCGTTTCCTGTGATCTCCCTTTAAAAGAAGAAAGGACATTAATAAAAATTAACTTCAATGTCATTTTCATATAGATACGATGCGCGAAGTTTGATTGACATTTGCCTTATGGTTTTGAACAAGAAGTAAAAACATATAAAGGAAAACAAAAAAGTAAATAAGTAATAACGGTAGACAAAATAAAGGGGGTAGGGGGACACGATGGACAAACTTCGAAAAATCCCACTTAAGCATTTGGATCAATTCCAAAAATTACATTGTATAATGAGAAGAATATGTTAGCAAACAATAAGCGATAAACCTTATTTTTATTCTCGAAAAAATAGCTTTACCATTTTTTAAAATCATTTTATAACCTAACAGAGTTGTGTTTCAAAGTCAAATGCTAAATACATTGTAAGTCAATTTACATTTTTACTATTTGCTTCAAACATATACAAGTAAAAAGACAAAATCAGATTGGTACATATTGAGGTAAAAATATAATTTTGATGCGTGTGGCTACACGTAAAAGACAAACATAACCAAAAATGCAACAGAAGTATTTTAGAAGTGTAGTTTTCAGTGACATTAGTATTCAAATCTTCAATTTTACCTTGTAGCAGCTTTAGTATTTGATGAAAGTGAAGCACAACAATCACAATCAGGGCAATGTGTAATTTTTCAAACATGCTCATTTTGTATTGTTTTAAAGTAAAGATACATAAACCCATGACTGCTAATTGTTTTAATGAATTATGACTTGCACCGTAGAACAGTTGTTAGAGAGCTCATTCTGTAGTGGGAAGGTCGGTGGTTTGCATACGATCACGGCAATCCTTAGCAGATAAAGATATCAAATATTTAGCAATTTTTCTTTCGTCTAGCGCTCGGGATTAAAGTGAAAGTTTCGGATGAAATATATGGAGATAACGAACAGTATTAAAGCTCAAAAGTCCATTAATCAATACAAAATAGGAGCAGAGCAAACACGGACCTCCAAACATCAGAGGTAGGATCATGTGCCATGGAGGAGTGAGCATCCCCTGCCGACCGGTCACACCCGCCGTGTGCTCCTTGTCATGATCGGGAAATAACGGAAAAATCCGTCGACAATTCAGTGTGTAAATAATGGCCTAACAATTAGTGTGAAAAACGTCAGTCAGCACTTGACTCAATGATAAATTGTATTTGCTGACAAGGTCATTGTATCGACCATAGAACTTACGAAATGATGACTTTAAACGAGACAGCTGATATTCTTGTTTCATCAACTTATTTGCCAATAATTTACCTCGTTTTAGAAATTGTACATACGTAGAGCATGCTCTTGCGTATCGAATCAACTGAGAGATATATACCCCGTATGCAGGTGATGAAGGTATATTGCTGCATAAGTAAGGGAAGTTGACGATTGAAAAGTTAAAGTCATCACGTTTATCATAAAGCTTGGTTGTTAGATTACCATTAACGTCTTTTTCAAGTAAAATATCCAAATATGAAACAGATGTGTCAGACTCTGTGGTATCTTTTATCTCAAGTTCACAAGGATATATCGTATCAACATGAGAATGGAAATAGCCATTGTTAATTGACAATACGTCGTCGATATATCTAAATGTCGAGTTGAAGGCCACAGCAAGTGTTTTCTTCTTTTCACGTACAAGATTTTGGACAAATTCTGCTTGATATGAATACAAAAAAGGTCTGCTTATAACGGGGCGCAATTGGTACCCATGGGAATTCCAATAGATTTTTGGAAGACCTGGTCTCCAAAAACCACATAGATATTGTCAATCAGAAACTCAAGCATCTTTTTAGTGTCAATTCAGAGTACTTGTGTGAACAATCAGAATGTTTTTTAACAAAATAATTTTGCAAATGACCAATGACAAGGTAAGTATATTTACGAGTTCCATTTTTATTGAAAAAGCAGCTGTCAATGATATCAAAAAGCCTGGACTCTAATTTATCGTGGGGAATGGTTGTGTACAAATTTGAAAGTCGTAAATTTTTAAGCTGGTGATTTTGGTAAAATCTTGTGATTTCAAATTTTCCAAAAGTTCCTTGGAATTTTTAAGTATCCACATCTGATTTACACCACTTCTCGAATATATTGTTGCGCAGTACTCTTGAAGTTTCTCCTTCACCACTGTTAATATCTTAGTGAGGAGTAAAGATAGAGGCTTGGTTGAACATTTACTGGAACCCGCTATGTATCTTTGTTTGTAAGGATTTTTATGAAGTTTCGGAATCCAATATAAATATGGTAATTCAAATTCAATTTGGTTGTTTGGAATATTAAAAATATTCAAAACTGACATATGATTTTGAAGAATTTCTTCCTTAGAAAGGGAACTATGAATATAAGTTGGATTACCACTTGTAGAATTAAATCCAGGTTTCTTCTAAAATAAATTTAATAGAATGAGCCTTACAAACAAAGACAATGTTGTTACCTGCTTTGTCAACAGGGACCAGTACGTACTGATCATGTAATCTATCTACTTCTTTTTGCACTTCTGGATTATTGAATACAGAAGGATAGATGGTTTTCATATTGCCTCTCAATCTTTTAATGCGCGATTTTAACATACATCTGATACATTTAATCCATTCTGACAAAGTGTCAAGGTCTTCTTTTTCATGTCTGGTCCATCGCCTGGCGTAGTCCTCTACAGAATCCATAATATTTATGAAATTCCGACGCCAGTTGAAGGATCTGAGTTCCCTAAATTTAGGACCTTTTAAAATAAGTGATCTAAGGTCCTCATTATTAACTATATTTACGTCACCAGTAATAACGTGTCCAGCAGGACTATAGTTATAGGGCGAAGAAGAACATGAACACGATGGAGGATTATGCTTCAGATATTCGATATCCAGGCCCTGTAAAGTTTTCTTGTAATTAAAAAGTTTGGATGCAATATTCGATGTATATTTGTAGGAAATATAAGGTGGAGTCTTTAACTTGAAATATGGTGGAATACAAGACTGGACCCTTTTGTGATTAAGAATATTACTTATATTAACCGCGTCAATTCCTTTGTTGGCATATTGAAGTTTAAGGAAAAAACGGATTGTTTTAGCTGCATTTTCTTCAGTAAAACGCGGGGGTTTAAAAAGCCTATGATTGGCAATATCCATAATTACAGATCCGAGCCTATATTCTGGTGTCGAGGAATCAAAAAATGGACTTTCCTTGACCTTTTCAAGAAGACTATTTAAAAGTTTCAAAGGGACAGAGTAAAGTTTGGTGCGAATATGATGTAGACCTAACTGTTGATTTACGTAAGGTAGTAATGAATCAAAAGAGACATCGTGTATTATAGGTTTATTGTAAGACCGATGCCCATGACTACGCTTACGTCTCCGTGTATGGTTTAAAAGTCCCATCACATTTACATTGTTACACTGTGTGATGATATCTTAAACACTGAGGCTCCGTCTAACGGCAGCAGTTGGCACGCTTAAGAACCCTCACTACTAAATGACCTGATTGTCGGGTAAATGTTTGATTTTGAAGCCCTTCACCGGACTCTGGTTATCATTTTATAAATGAAAAATTCTCGCAAGGGATAGAGATTGATTGATTGTATGTTGTTTTAACGTCCCTCTCGAGAATATTTCACTCATATGGAGACGCCACCACTTGCCGCTTGAGAGCTGCAAAATTTTTGTCCTATGCTCGGCACTTACGGCCATTGAGCAGTGAGGGATCTTTTTCGTGCCAGCACCTACTGCGACACGGGACCTCGGTTTATACGGCCTCATCCGAAGGATCGGTCTCCACGTCCCACAGTGGGATTCGAAACCGCGACGTAAGGATAAACTCCTTACTTCGCGACTCTAGAGCAGGCTCTCTAACCACTGCGCCACGCGGGCGACCGCAAGAAATGGAGAAGAACAAAACGAAAACCATAACAAAAAAACCAAAAAAAAATCAAAGTTAACCATATCCAACTGTTTCCAATGTATCTACACTTCCTTTAATGTGCCAATGACTTACAAATATAAACACAATTTAGAAAGGTATGATATTTGATG